TCTAAACGTTTCCTAAGGAGCCAACTATTACATAGGTAAAACTTCATACAGCGAAAATAGTATTTTGACGTCATTCACACTTTACATGATAAATTAATTATTTAAGTATTTTCAGTAGCAGTGTCTGTATCCTGTCTCTCCTTCGAGGGTAGCATTTGAGACCAAGCGGTGTAAATATGTCACAAGGCGAAATGTATTATCCATAGGAGGTTGTTTCATAAATTCATTTTGAAATACAATACCTAATTTAGAACCAGTAAATTATATTAGGTATCATCATCATTAACAAAATGCTCTCTTCGTCATGTTGAAATGGGCATGAGGCGGCGGGGTAGCGTAGTGGCTAAAGCGTTCACTCGTAACGTCGAAGACCCGGGTTCGATTCCCCACATGGGTGTAATGTTGGAAGCCCCATCTCTGGGGTCCGCCGCCGTGATATTGCTGGAAAATTGCGAAAAGCGGCGTAAAACTAAACTCACTCAAATGGCTACACGCCTACTGTTTGACATCGACAGTAAAACTGCTTCAAAGTTCAAAGCACATCCGATGTATCTCCTAATTGACAACGAGTCTTTTTCAGGTCAAGTCTGAAACTATAAACTTAGGAATGACATATGCACTTATACTAATGAACTTGCATGCATCAGTAACTGGCATCAAAAGATACCTACTCATACATTTTCCTTCAATTGCTGAAACATAATTTTTCACGCGATTGTTTAAATATTTGCGCTTCTTCGACGAATCTTAAAGAATACTAATTCTTCCGACTGATTAAACGTGTCTCAGCAAAATGTACTAATTGATTCTCCTTGCAGTAAGTACCCTCTCTTTAGCAGTACTGTATACGTACAAACCACACGTATTCCCACTGGAGAAGAGAAAAATGTAAAAACGTAAGTGATGTCCACTGGGAAATTAACCAATCTCATAAACTGTACAGTCACCTTTACAGGATTGTAATTAGGCAATTGCAAATTTTTGCAGACGTTATGTTCACTTTCTGACTATGCATGGGAATGGAACGACTTTAACGAGAGCCCTTGTTAATCCACAGTGGTAGAGGTATCTACAAGCATGTGGAGCGAGACGAGCATTGTGAATATAATTTGTAAATTGAAGCGACAAAAACATTTCCATATTAATGAGGCAACTTGGTTAAAAAGCAGAGTTTTTTGTACTAAACTAGTGCTCAAAGGAGAGTACACAGTGTTTCACCAAACTTGAAAAGAAAACAAAAAACATATATAAATGCACATTTGTTTAGTTCCAATAGAGTGTTCAATTCTACAGCAAAGTACACAATTTCATTTCATACAAAGTCGAAAGTACCGTTTGACCGACACTCAAAGACACGTGGTATCATAGTCTGAACTATTACACAAATCGACAAGGCGGTGTTTTCTGCACGTTAGGCGTGATCTGTTGCCATTCCTGTATGAGACATTGTTCCAGTTGTTGAGCGGTGACAGGTGGCGCTGGTAGTCTTCTGATTTGTCGATACAGGTAGTTCTATAACTGTTCTATTGGATTCATGTTGGGAGAACATGCTGGCCACGGCAAAACAACGATGTTAGCGTTATGCCGAACGTCGTTTGTCAGTTTTGCTGTTTGAGGCCTTGCGTTATCGTTTTGGATGCCATGTGGTTGTTGCTAGATAAATGGCAACACAACTTGTCGAAAAACTTCATCCCTGTCTCTTCGAGCATTCAGGCTGCCATGTGTCATATAACGAAGCCGTTGTCACGACCAGAACAAACTTTATTCTTCGTAACAGCTATAGTGGCGGGATACACTGTTGGCCATGTGCTTCGGCACACATCCCATAATGATCGTGAACAAGGGGGAATAACTCTTGAATGGATTACCACTTTAAAATAACCAATACTGACACCATGAATAATCAGAAGTCTCGTTTTGAGATCGCCGCAGATGCCGACATCACGCCACCGGATCCAAACGGTCGGACTTGCTGAACGCAATTCGGCGGTATACTGTCAGCACGAGCCTGGCCGTCATTACTGTACAGGCAAGACCTGCTCTCGTCGGTGAACATCACACGTCGCCAGTCACGCATCTGCCAACGTAGAACTGGCCCATGTCAATGGACGACGTCGGTTTTTGAAACATCAGATGCACTCCGCGGTAGGGTTGACGTGCTCGAATACCAGGTTCCCTTACTTGCCGAAACATCGTATGTCGACTGATACGGTGTCCTAGTGCCGTTGCTGCCGATTTCTCAGATGAATTGTCCGGATGTGGCGATCATCACCGGGTGTTGTAAACAGGTGGTCAACCACTCCAAGCCCTATTTGACGTATTGCCTGTTTGACTTAGTCGTTGTATCAGTCTGATGACAGTAACTCAGGTGCAACCGAACGTTCTGGCAATGACGGTGCGGTTAGCTCCTTGTTTGGCCATTCCGACAGCTCTCTCTCGCTTTCGATTTGAATTGAACACTACTGTGTTCATCATATGTCGCGTAGACTGTTTTATACTGTCAATATGCACGTGCATTTCGTGTTGCATCAGAAAAAGTCGTTTTGGTTTTTTTTGCGACGTTTAGGTGATTAGTTAACTTGTTTCGCCGTTTGTTCCTGAAAGGATGGGTCTAAACATGTGTGACAAGGCGCAGTATGGTTTTATCAATTCAGTTTTATTTTTGTGAAATGTTATGCAATATCTTGCAGTGTATAGTTTCTTTTGAGTAATAATTTAAATCACCAATATATGTTTATGAATCATCATAAAAAATAGTCCATCATAAAAAAAATGGTCCATGACAACCAGGTTTTATCACATGACAGCTAAACAACCGAAACAACCTGTATCACAACCAGCACATCTCCATGCCACGTAAACCCAGGGGGGCGGTGGAGTCAGCCTTGTGGTTAAAGCATTCGCTCGTCACGCCACACTCATTTACTCACTCACTCTCCATGCCATGATAACCTGTATCACAACCAGCATCAACATCCACGCCATCGGCATCACTACGACAACCTCAATAACGCCCAGCACCAATTTCATAACGCTCACTACCACCACCCATTTCCTTCACACAAGTGTACAACCTAACACAGCACACATGCCTCACTAGTCCCATGTCTATCTAAGCGTAACCCTGACTATGTTTTTAGCTTTATATTGAGCCGCTTGACTCGGTACGTTTTTTGTTAAATTGATTTGTTTTTTAACGAAATGAACATGAAGCTTATTTACTTGCTTCCAAAGATTTCCAACCTGCAATAAAAATCCATCTAAATGCATAATTTAGTTGCTATTGGTGTCTGTCTTTTACGCGCTGAGTTATTCAATACTGTTCATCGTCAAATTCCATTATCCTGAAGCAATGGAAGAAAAAACCTTGACACATATTTACAGCTGTGTCTCAGCTTCATTAATCACGCGCCACCTGAATCCACGGGTATCACTGTTGGTATAAACAGGCCATCATACACTAGGATACTGGACTGCACATGTACGTGCTTCACACAATGTCTCAAAAGCAATGGGTCACATGTTCACATGTTCAATGTCCTGATTGCTTAACATGCCCAGTTTTCTATACTGATTTAGACGAAGAAAGAGGCACCAGGTTGCTGGTCTGATGGAATGTCGTCATTGCTCACAGAGAGCAAACCCCGTGCTGCAGACCCCGCATGGCGTAGGGTTCATCGGTTTGGTTAAAGTCGCTGTGGCATTCACGTTACCGACGTCGTAACGAGGCATATCAACAGGAGATGATCAATGCAGCTAAACACTGAGGTGATGGCTGAGTAATTGTGTAGTGTAATTGGTGACTGTAAGCTCGACCGTATTACAGCCACGGTGACCATACAGACTTGACTTTGCTTTATGAGAGTAAAATACGTTGCAGTTACCAGTTTAATACGGTTCTGGCTACATACTGCTGGGTTTCGGTGACAGTATACCGTCAGTATCCTATGGCTGCATCAGTGATGGGTTACTGTATGTCACCGAGTTAATGTTGTGCCAAGTTGATAGCAAGTTGATAGCTCCTCTTGCCTATTACATGTCGAGCTGATACCACTCATGTTTCCGTAACGACATTCAGTCATATATACTCATGCCAATAATGGTTGTCACCACCCTCCCCACCCCAACCCCCACCCCCTCCAATTAAAAAAAATGAAGGGGGTGACAACCATTATTGGCATGAGTATGCAATTGTAGATGGCATGTAGCATCGATCATTTTCCTGAAGGACGTCTTCGTTTATTTCTTTACATATTACAATCATAACGTTTAAATCGATATATGTACAGGAGTCTCGCCCATTTAGCAATAACGTACCTTGAGCAACTGACGCATATGGATATGGATGTACTGATAATATGGATTTAATGATTTGTCTGTTTGACGTCGCACCCAGCAATATCTTAAAGCTGCTTGGGTGCTGCATGTAAATACGCATGTTATTGATAGGACATGCCAGCATCAACGCCTTCTTGTACGAAGACATGGTATGAACCAAGCAGCCGAACAGGGTGGGACTGAAACGCATGTCAGCCAGAGGTAGCTTTGACAACAGCGGAAAACTTTACTGTATATGTACATGTACATGCTCCAGGTTGTGGTCTGAGGGAATATCGTCATTCGTCACAACAGACACAAGCAGGAATGGCTGGCGTTTAGCAGACTCTGCGAATTTGTAAATTACGAACATGGCCTAGGGTTCATTGGGCCGGTGAAACATACATCATTTAGTTTCAGTGCAGAAAGAAACAGTTATCAACAAGACGGTCTTGGGGCACTACATCCGTTCAGGATCCGTACATCAAGGCGACACATTAGTGTGACGAGCACCAAGGTCAGCTACAACTATTAAACTATAAACGCCTAAGCGCATCGGGAGTCACATGTCACTGACGGTCAATGCTGACTCAACGACACCGACAACAACATCTGCAGTGGGCCCAACACCACCTGCGCTGGCGACATCAACAGTGGCAAGAGGCAAGAAGTTCTCAGACGAATCAGGATTCAGCTTTTCCCAATCCGAAGGCGTACTGGAGGTCCCGCCTGCTGCCATTATGCAGGCCGAAGGTTCGGGAGGACGAAGGGTAATTGTATGGGGTGGCATCAGTTATCATCACAGCACTGCTCTGCACGTGACTCGTGTTGTGAACAGGAACTGTGTTTAACAATACTGAATGACATTTAGACAATGATCAAATGCAGCACGTTATATTTGTGATTACACTTTCTCAGTATAGTAGAGATTTTATTACTTGGGTTGAGTACCATCCGGGATTCAAACCCACACTCTCAGGGAGAGGTACATAATCGCCAGCGCACAACGTCAACGATCTAACGCACTCGACCACGTCAGCATAACTTGACTGAAGCACGCCAAATTGAGAAAGGTTACTCAACAAAGAGTTAATACTGGTTAATGTCACATGTCGGAGCAACAGCGAGCTACGTATACCAGGTTTGGACTTCCTGGGATAGACTTGAGACCACACTTGCGTGACACAATACTTCAACAATTATGTGTAGGTCTATTCTGATCTCAATAGGTCAATATTCAATCTAAATTTGAGCCATAAAACCAATTGCATTGTCTCCCAAGTACAGAGATGTCGGTATTTGTTAAAAGGATCAGCAGTTACGATCAATACTTCACCTAGTTGATTGAAAGAATCGGTTTTATAATTATTGCCAATATCCGTAGCACATTTTTAATCGTTATTCTATTTGCCACACGCAGACTCGCTGGAACAAAACATAAAAGACATTGTGTTTGAATTGTGAGAATCAATGTTGTCAGAGTATGGAGTATGACAGAAACGGACATGAAATGTAAAGTACTCAACTTCTGCTTTGAGTTATCGTATGTGGAGAATTATAATGATGAAAACCCTATCAAGCACATCAAACGGTAAATGTCATAGACCTGCATCACTCCGGGCTCTCCTCCCACATACACCAGACACGACATAGCTGGAAGAATGTTCAAAACGACTGTAAACCTAATTGACCCACACATTCAGTCAAATTGCGTTTGTTGCTGGGTAGTGGGGCAAGGTCTGTGTCTTATTGTTTATCGCAACGAGCTGTTAATAATTCATTCTGAAAGTTGGGAAACAATCATCATGGTTTGAAAATTGAGATTATCTTGTCTTGGGAACCTGTCTTGGGAACCTACACACAAACTCGAGGCCAATACCCACGGGAAATGGTCATTACCATTAAGAGATGTCTATGAGAGGATTAAGGGGGATCGAGAGGAGGATAGAGGATCATGTTTATTTACCACACAAACTGAGCATTGTTAAACATCTGTGTTTCTATGGTCTTTGGAATGTACAGGGTGATTATGTATCCCATAATGATATTACCACCTGGCTAGCTGAAGGTTTCACACTCAAATGCTAAGTTACATTTCTATGGAATCTGTTCCGGCCCAGTGTTGTTTCACGAGCGTCATCGTTTCAGATCTGCGTCCGGTTGCAGATCTGTCATTAGTTCATTGGCGTCCCGGGGAATCAAGCTTCCAAAGTTCGGTCCCCTACATTTTCATTCAGATTGCACTGTCATATCCGACAATATATCCGTTCTGGCAACCTACCAGGGGTATGAACTTATATACTGGCGCTCCAAAACTCCAAAATACCACCAGTCTACAAACGAGCTTTTAAACTAAGTGAATGAAACAAGTCTATGATCACACTCCTAAACAGGTAAAAAAGCACACAACACCACGTAACAAATAACATTGTATTGAAGCATGGCGTATATATACTGAGTCAAAAAAGAAACGTCACAAAATGTAATTTGAAAAATAATGAATAATTTGTCTCTGATGATACATCTATGTATCCGAAATGGGATCCCTATCTTTCGACTCTAGAAAAACGTTAGCAAAACCCACTCAAAACCATGCATTCGTCGTGCAAATGACGTTAGTGCCAAATCAGGTTTTGCACGTGCAGTCGATCACGTGATCTTCGCATCGAGCTTTTCTTCATATGCACGTGTTTGCATTGGCCTCAAGAATTGAAAAAACACTTTTAAACCACAGTTCTAACGGTACTTGAAATGCCACGATTGTCAAATGTGCACCGTGAACGTGCCGTTGGCATGTTGCAAGCGGGAAGATCAGTTATTGACGTCGCAAGAGCAATGGGATGCAGCCGTAGTACTGTGTATGACTTGCGAGGTCGTCTACAACAAACTGGCACCACTTCTGATCGCCCAAGGTCGGGTCGTCCACGTCTGACGTCACGAGCAGAAGACCGTCAAATCGTCCTACGTCACCTACGTGACAGATTTCTGCCGGCTACACGAACCAGGGCTGAGATGTTTAGAGGTCGACTGTCCTCACAGACCATTCGAAATCGGTTGCGGGCTGCCAATCTCTATTCTCGACGTCCATATCGTGGGCCAATATTGACGCCGTTTCATCAACGTCAACGTCTGCTGTGGGCCCAACGTCACCTCCGATGGACCCAGAGAGACTGGAATCGAGTCGTCTTTAGCGATGAATCCAGGTTTACTCTCAGATTCGCGGACGGCAGGCATAGAGTCTGGAGACGACGTCGGGAACGGTATGCCCAATGTTGTGTGCAGGAAGTCGACAGATTCGGGGGCGGAAGTTGCAAGGTGTGGGGTGCTTTCTGTGGGAACAACCGTTCCCGACTTCTGGTCATCCGTGGAAACCTCACAGCTGCTGCTTACCGCGACCAGGTGCTCACCCCTGAACTCGTTCCTTTCATGGCGGCTCATGGCCCAGGTCTACAGTTCAAGCATGATAATGCTCGGCCGCATACCGCGATGTTGACACGAAATTTCCTTCAAAACGCTGGAATCAACGTCATGGACTGGCCATCGAGGTCTCCTGACCTTAATCCAATAGAGCACGTTTGGGATGCACTTGGGAGAAGGCTTCGTGGTCTTAGAAACCAACCTCAGAATTTGCAGGAACTTGGCGCTGCCTTACAAGAGCAATGGCGCAGAATCCCCAACCACGTGTTCACAAGCATCAGGCAGTCGATGAGGAGACGGTGTTTGGCAGTGGTGAATGCGCGGGGCGGCCATACACGATATTGAACTGAGAAATTTCGCATTTTTATTCTTGTGACTTGACATTCTGTATACCCATGTTTTGGAACGGCGGTGTAGCCTAATGGAACTGATTATGGCACTGTCAGTGTATCGAGTACTTCACACAGATCTCAGCAATGAAACAATAACAATTTAACCATCTTACCATCTCTAATTCTTTTATAGTGCCCTGAAGAAAGAATGTGAAGTTTCTTTTTTGACTCAGTATATAATGTAAGAGTGATATAGTAGGTCAGTAATATTCCAGTTGCAGTCAAACACCGTTGTCCCAAAGTTGAAGGAACCTGTACTTCGAGAAATATCTCGAGACATCCGACGTTCGATATAAATTATGACTAAATCGGGAAGTCACTTCGATATATGAAAGTTCGATACAACGACATCATATAGTAGTCGATCCGGTGACTGAAAGCATTTAATTTAGAACGAAAAATCGGGATGCCATAACAGAGTGGATTTCTTATTTGCCAACTCATGAAAAGCTTGGACAACCCAACTGCGCAGATCGATGCTCATGCTGTTGATCACTGGATTGTCTGGTCCAGACTCGATTATTTACAGACCGCCGCCATATAGTTGGAATATTGCTGCGTGCGGTGTAAAACTCAACTCACTCACTCACTCTTTTCGACAACCACAGGCTAAATCTGGGCTCCCTACGGATTTGAAAGCAGCTGATATCTAGATGATATGATCTTTTTCTGAGGAGAATTTCAAATCATGTATTTCAGTGTTCGGGGGCATAAAAGGCAGGTAAGACAGGAATTGCATCTTGTTGTAGAGGCTTGGTATGCAATTCCAACCATATGCAACCGACAAGGGAATCTTATTGGACACGGCTTCCCCTTCCTGAGGGCTCGAATCTGGACCCGACCGCCATTTTGCAATTCCTCTGTCCTCAAGCGAACCTGGAAAAAGCGTATTTGTATCCTTTGAATAACTGCGATGTTTAGGTCCCAAAAAATATTTTGGGAACAGTGACGATAATTCCGGTTCAATACAGACTGACAGGCGGTCCGCCGAACTGGCTTGCTAGGACATTGATATTTACAGACTGCTCTGTATACCTATCAATGTGTTGGCCGGGGCAAAGGAAAACATTTTGCGAAAATGGGACAACAGGATGGTAATTATCAGCGGCATCAGTTTGTTTATTGCCTACCTTTCACAGTATTATCAAGAATCACAGCAATCATACCGCCCAGGAACATTGGAGTACCAAAGATGACTTTCAAAATGGCATTCCCTTCAGTGTTTCCTGCAAATACAAAAAATTCTAAGTAGTTAAAGTTTTGCTATGGCAAGACAGACACATCCAACAGGTCCCGTCAACGATCCATGTTCTTTTTGTGAAATTGAAATTAAGGAAAACGTGTTTGGTCCAGGACTTGTCTTGCCAAACAACCCCCTCCTCCGCCTTCCCATAACGAACATGAACTAACTTACCCCTGGATAACAATGCGATCGTTTACTTTTTCCGCCGAGGGTGGTTAGTTATACAAGTAATTATTATCTGTATGATGCATTTTACCTGTGTTGATAAAGTCTGGATGCAAGTTAATCCACTCAGGAAGGAATATACCAACAAACATTGCCGTCCCCAAAATCGTGAGGTTTCTGGACGAAGTCAAGTTGACATAACGGAGTGTAGACAACCCAAGGGAGACCAGCATCCCCAACGTTGGGATGAGGACACCCCCTAAAGCTGGGTTGGGTATGGAAGCCAACCCAGCACCAAACTTCCCAAGAAAGGCAAAGATAAGCAGCAATATTCCTGCACAGATCATCACATGCCTGCTCCCTGTCTGAAACAGCAAAACAGTGTCTATGACAACCACTCAGATCGCGGTTTCACGTCAGAACAATGTTTTCAGAAAACTAACACAGAAAACTAATTCGCACTTAGTAGTTCTAATAATGATGCCGGCAGATGTTATACCTTGATACGAATAGATAGAAAATCTCCAAGAGCTTAATCGCATATATGAGCTTGAAACCAACAACCAATCTACTAAATGGGAGTAAAGTTGTGCCATTTTTATTATTTCTGGGTAAACAGGCATACACTTTTGAGTTGAAGTTGAAGGATCCTATGTAAACACTTCGAGCTATCCGATGTTCGACACAACCGAAACAGGATGAATAACGAAAACATACGGAAGGATCAAGCTTCTTCTTTAAAATAACAGTATAACAGTGGAGACCATATGTATCGGACACAGCTTCCTACAATGCAGTGTTCTTTGAAATTAGCCGGTTGTTTTGGGGGAAAAGAACTTCTTTAAAACCCCAACGTCAACACAACCCCGACAATTATAGTTATATATAATTTTGTTCCTAATGAAGAAAAGCCTGTGAAGCAACATGGCGTTAGATATCTATGACCTTCTTAACGTTACCTTCGACACAGAAATGGCTGCAATGTTGCCGCTAAAGGACGTCGTAGCATGGCCGACACCCGTGGCACCAGATAGAAGGCCACCTAGCCCTTCCATCAAGATCCCTCTGTTTACCGCGTGATTTGGCGGAGTATCTACTTCACATGCCTTCGAAGCAGCAAAATAGTCCCCCACGGACTCTACCAACGATGACAGGAAGGATGCAGAAAACCCGATAAACACCGCAACGTTAAAACCCGGCATTCCGAACTGACCTGAAACAAAATCGAATCAATCTTATTTCACATTTCATTTTTAAATAATCGGAAAATTCTCTATGGTATGAAATTTGTGAATGAAAGACCCCAGATGAACCAATTTTGTACATGGAAACGACAAAACCCTTTATAGTTGTGACTATATCATAAGTATTGCTTTGTTGGACGCAACATTCAGCAGTATTACATTTGTACGACGCTGTCTGCAAACAATGGAGCCTGGACCAAGCAATCCTGTGATTGGCAAGTTGAGATATGATGACCGAGCACGGCATGGCATATATGTATATCATGTATGTATATCAAATGGCATATATCTGTACTAATATACCTGTATAAGGCTGTTTACCGAGGATACAATAAACTAAAAGTAAGTGAACAGTTTCATATCTTTGGAGACGAGTTCCAGTAGAGATTTTATTAACGCATCTTTGCATATCACAACTTCATGTGTATTATATTGTTGTATATTGGTGATTGGGTGAAAATACGATTACTACGGCTAGTACAGCTGTGGGCGAGATGCATACTTTTACAAGTTGAACAAACAGAATTGGTGTTATCACATAAAGTATATATACATAAAATGTTAAAACAGACGCAAAACCACCCACAGCCACTTAAGAAGCTCCATGTACTGTCGCATATTATGAATTTATCCCACATTTTGTTAAAGGAGAACTACGCTCTACCAATTAGTGCTCGTTTGAAATGTAGATGTAGACATTATTATGCTCAAAGTCTAGAGGCTAAGTCCTGTAGGATGCTCAAGAATTTGATCAACACCCACTACGAAAAAGGTCTGACTACACCTAGTCTCCTAAGCCTCCTGAACATTTCTTGGTACTATGTAATCCCAAATTATAGTTTATTTAAAAGTTAGGGGTCATTCAGGCGGTGCATATATATACCATCGTGTCCCAGTTGCGTAGATCGATACTGGTGATGTCATATACACATAACAAGGCATGAGTTATCAGACAAACATGAAACAGTTATCCTAGGAATAGCAGTTGGTCAGAGTCTTGTCCTTTAGACGTAACACTAGCCGTTACCAGAAGTGTCTCTTGCCACCCTTCTCGAACAGTAATACGTTTTTGGGAAATCAGAGTGCCTTCTGTAGGTCACGTATACACCTTTCAAGGACATAATCAGTTTCCTCACAATACGTATGTGGCAACATACCTGGGTATGGGAAAATAAACCAGGGAGTTAGTTGTATCAGCGACGATTTAGCGTCCGTCCTCGCCATATAACGAACACTGCTTGGGTCGTCCGGGAAGACGTTGGTGACAGTCAAAACAGCGCAAATTATCCACATCAACAGGATGCTTAGCAGGATCTGAAAGACGTTCCTCGAATGTCGGATTTCTGGAGACGTGTTTCGTCATAATCAGGCACTTTGTGGAATGTCTGATTCGCTAAGGTAATTAAAAATTTGTTTGACAATCACGGATCTTTTTAACCATCACTAATAATGTAAACTATTTTATCCTTTGAAATAAAAATTATACAAATACAACCAAACAGCAACAACATTATGTCAAATTTGCAGCTCGAAATCGAGAATAACAGTCACCAGAATTGTCAAATAGGGAGACATTATCATCGAGACTAGAGACACGTGGACACATTTTAGACATACCGGAAGTAATCCGAAAAGACGAACACCGCCCTTCTTCCCCTGCTTTGGTGTTTTCTTTCGACAGGAGGGGAGTGGTATTTCCACGTTGTTAAGGAAGAGCGTAAACACGAGGACCATGATAGCAGCTCTGAGGGATAGCGAAATAATGTCAAAGTTGGAAAACACCACAGCTAGTAATTCAGCACTAACTTCTGAAAATTATATAGGAATAACGTGAAAAAGCATACATCTTAAACTCTCCACATGACAAGAGGATTATTTTAATATCCAGAAGTCAATTTTCCCTTTACGTTGAGAAATATTCCAGAAACTCCAACCATTGAAGTCAACATCAAATGATATGACTCTGGCTAAAATTTTCCAAATTGGAAGCATCCGTAACCCAAATGATGACTGATGCACTTCTCTATTTTGAATCATATCGTATTTATGTTTCCTTTTTTCAATTGAAAATTACCTTTCCTTTTTGCATGTGTGACAGATGCGTTGCTCATACATTATATGCATTTGTGACATTTGTGCCATGGTATAATAAATGAGATGAATGCGACTGGATGTTAATGTCATACTGACATTATTCATTGTGGGGGTAACATTACCGCTATACTCCATATGCTTCTATCAGCAGGTCCTAAGCAGGGATAAGAGTTGTGAAAAAATGCTTAGTAAAAGGCATATGTTATATTGGACATATATTAACCTTAAGGTACTTACGTGATGGCAATTTCCCATGATGGTCTTGAATATATTATTGGGATTTTATACAAGGAAAGTCCTATCAGTGATATTGTAGGAGCCACGGTCAAAGGTCCAATGTAACGAAGCATAGCACCAACCAGTCCCGTTGAACCAACCAGTATCTCAACCAGAGAAGCTGCCATTAAACTTCCAGACAACTACAAAGAAGATAAGACCTCGACAGAACGACAAAATACCAGTGTACAAGGATATCTAGAGGTTCTTTAATTCGTAGGAAATAGGTTGAAAACATATCAGGCAAGATCTATATTCAAGTAAATGGTGCCTAACGCTACCTCGGCAGTATCCTAGGTATATGTGACCACGATTTTCCGATTTCAGTCAGCTTTTACCACAAGCATGAGTTTCATATTGTCCAAGATACCTTTCAGTCAAGAGCAAAAAAGGTGTTCACAAATATTTGTATTGATCAACAATAATTGACATCATTGCCTTGTTCCAAACCCCAATTATGATAGAATCAATATTGCTGATAGCGTTAGAAATTACTCTTTTTGTGTTTGATTTGAAGCAAACTGCTTAAAATGCATAAACTCGTCTTTAGAATAATAGCATATTACGTTTCATGAACGAAATATGTTTTATGAAAAGGTAACATATACAGTGACCTTGGGTATTAGAATCTATGTTACCTCATATTATGTTTTCAGGTGAATACTGCCATAAATTATAAAGCAAGTTAAATCCTTCTACACAATATATATCAGCTTATAGAATCAATTAATAAATTGTTCCTACCATTTTCAACCTCTCCGTTTCAGATAACACGTGTGTTGAAGACGCTTCAGTCATGTTAAACTGAGATATTGTCACATTGTTTTCATTGTAGGTATGGGACTCTGTAATGCAACAAAATGTTACAGGCAATGATTTATGTAATATGTTGATATATATCCCAAACCCTAAACAACAAAGAAACGACTAGCAATAGCATTTCTAATAAATGCGAATATATAACTAGTTCACCTACTTATTAATATAATGGACTAAGAAGATGAATTCTAATCATGAAATTGCAATATAAGAAAACTCGTGAAATAGAAGTAAAAAAAGGTTTCAGGTATTGTTGCTGTGGAGAAGAATCCACAGTTATTATGCAATATTCCTCCAAATGATCTTCCTCACATAAGCGTACGTGGGTCGATCAAAAAGTACGTAGACTAACTATATTCTCGATGTCCAATGTTTGAGAAGCTTCCATTTGATTTTGAAGGAATCTTTAGCAAAGTCATATCCAAAATTTCACATATGTGGGTAATGTGGTTAACGAGATATTAGTCATCACAACACATTGGGGTATAATATTTCTAACAAAACTGCAGAAAATGAAAAACGATCTGTCTAGTATATCATATAAAATATGTTCAGTATAGTGTTGGATGACTTCCCGTCATAATCAACAGTCAAAGGTTTGGATTGCTTAATTTATATTTATTCGAGGGCTGTTTTTTAAGGACATCCCCATTTCAATCTTCCTAAAACATTGTGTCCAGATATTCAAGCTGGTATTGTTTACAATATATTGTGAACTGACACTTGTGTGACCATTCAGTGTTTAGTTTGAACCCTTGGCATCATGTATGAATAAGTGAAAACAGAATAAGTTATGTCCTTATGATTACGTCATCTGAAAGGGGATGGGTAGTGTCTCCAAAACAAGCTCCTACAGTCAACATGAAGGGGGGAGTCACTTTAACAAGCGATTGTAATTTCAAATTGCCTTTTTTATGAACTTTAATATCTCAGTGTGATTCTAGGGGAGTTCTATCAATCTCAAACACACAAAATACTTCTTGCATATTTTGTTTCCTCAAGTTTTTTATGCATTTATTGTAGATTTTGCGTTTTTTAGGGTACCAAGATAAAAGGTCAAACAAAATGGGGATTGTGAGACTTGAACATAGCAAAACCAAATTGCTTGAGCTTGACAGATAATATGCAGAAAAATAAAACATAAAAATAACTGCATTTGTATCGTTTTCTTTGTGACTCTGCATACTTTATGATCGCCCCTCGTACATACAAACCTCCATTGGTCACATGAACACATGACCATTCGACATTGTTCTGTATTGCAAGCAGTGCTGGTAAGAATGATGACGAAGGTCCTTGAAAAACCGGAAGTCTGTCCAGAAAAGGTAAAATAAGGTTCTAAAATATTATTGTGGATATTATTAGGAAAGGTAACGAGTTGAAACTTTATCAGTCAATATTCCATCACTTGCAAAGCACTAGTACTATAACTATGAACTGCACAACTAAAGAAACATAGCTTTTAAATTATCTTTTGGACTTAGGCTGCAAAATAACAATATATATTCTGACAAAATATAAACGCAAAAGTTGTTTACAGATTGACATTTTATATTTTAAATAAAAATTAAACAAATCACTCCCGCCGAGAGACATTCATATTTGGTATTCATATGGTATGAATATCACTATTTGGAATGGTCTTTTATTGAGAAACTTCTTTAATTTTGGACCATCAATCAAACACTGGATTAAAACATTTTACAATAACATATATTCTAGCGTTTCAATAAATGGTTTTGCATCAGACTTCTTCCACATTACTATAGGCTGTAGACAAGGTGATCCTCTATCGCCATATCTATTTCTCATAGTCGCAGAAATCCTTGCTCACATGTTACGTCAAAATGACAAAATAAAAGGGATAAAAATGTTTGACTTAGAATATTCGCTTACACAGTTTTGCAGACTGCTAGGTATCATATTTCAACATAATAAGGCAGAAATGGTGGAAAGGTACTATAAAGATAAACTAAAGAAAATGGATAAATTAATGAAACTTTGGTCACTAAGAGATCTCAAACCATTCGGCAGAATAACTATCCTGAAAAGCCTAATATTGCCCACACTCAATCATCTATTTTCCTCACTACCAAACTCCAAAATGAATACAATTCAAATGATCCAGAAAAAGATCTTCGCATTTATTTGGAGAGGAAAACCAGACAAAATTAAAAGATCTTTGATAATCAGAAACTATAAAGAAGGCGGCTTGAAAGTTCCAGATATACTAGAAACTATAAAATATAAAAAAATACCACGGATAAGAAGGTTATTTACAACAAAGTCTAAATTCAACAATATCTTAAATAACACGGTAAAACATATAAACCCAATAGAAATGGGCTCAAACAAATCTATATTATATGAACACTACTTAAAAGCAAATGTAAAATATATAAATGACGTATTAAAAGATGATGAATCCTTTCTGTCTTTCACTGAGCTTAAAGAGATATATAGAGTAGAGACATATTTCTTAGAATATGCGGGAATGTTATCTTCAATAAAACAATATTCAAAACAAGAAGCTACGATATTGACAAAGCAAGGACATTTACCCTTTATTCCCCCGAATGTAAAAATACTCTATGAACATAAGAAAGGCTGCAATATTTTCTACACAACGCTACTAAACAAGGTTAAATATATTCCAAGTTTAGGATATCAATGTAAATGGGAACAAGACCTTCATCACAATTGTCCACCTGACATATGGAATACCTATCATTTTGTACCATGTGGAGCTTATCATAACACTAAGGAAAGACTAATATCGTATTGCCCACAGAATTGTCACAACCAATAAAGACCTATACAACTATAATATCATAGAATCACCCCTTTTTGCAAGGCTGAAAAAGAATGTTTGAATGCAGATACGTAAATAGGCTGTGGCAAGACCTTTTAAATTGGATTGAAGATAAAACGGACACTACTATAAACCTGGATCGAAAACAGTCTTTTGGGGCTTTCTGTAAGGTCACGTGACTCGTTTCAAACCAGTTACAGGTGTCTTGGCTAGGTATACCGTATAGGTGCATTGTCCTGTAAAAGTTTGAAAGGTATTCCACTCTGTTCTATATGGGATTCCAATATGCCTTCTTGTATAAGTTGACAGTACTAGCTTGAATCCATTCTTCCTGTAATAGTTAGCAGCGGCGTTACCCCGAGTTTGCCTATACCACCCCAAACCATGACACTGGGTGAGAACTTCGGAACCATTTTGCAGCTACGTCCACCTCTTGACCACCTCTTTCTTGTGATCCTATAAAACTGAAACTTTGATTCGTCCGTAAAAATCACATTTGAAAAGTCTGTACCCTGCTTTTCCCTGCACCACTCGAGCCTTTTCTCCATATGTGATGTTGTCATCAGTGGAACTTTCTTCGGCACTCGCTTGACATATCCAGGTTGCTTTAAAGATCTTCTGATTGTCCATTCTGATACCTTAGAGGTTCCTTGACTCGACACCTTCACAGCAAGCTGTTTTGCAGACCAGTTTGGGTACGCCGCCGCGAGACGCGCGATACGTCGTCTGTCATTTGCCCCAAGAGTAGCACGACGTCCCGATCCAGTCTGTCGCTCTGCGCCAAACCCTGCGTCAATTTTCTTCAAATTTCGGTAAACAGAGGCCCGATGCAGTCCCGTCAGTTTCACAAGTCTAGTTACGGATGTAATACCTGCTTCATAATATGCCAAGAGTCGATTTCTGTTGTTTTGTAACGTCATGGCAAAGCTTCGGTATCGTCTGCTAGCAACGAGGTCACGTGATCAAGCCATCCCTGAACCCAAGGGAGATAATTCCATACCAACGAGACAAGCTACTGGCGGCTAGAAACAATGTATTTCGGCTTTTTTGATAGTAGGATCGAGTCTACAGAATAAAGTTTTTTGTCGCGTTTTTTCTGCTCGTTACTATATATATTCCAGAAAACTAGCAAATATATGTCCAACCCTTGAAAGTCTCAAAGCCAAATTAAACCACAGTTACAATCTCCATAAATACAATGCGTACTCTGTATCCAAATATAGCAAGTTCACGACTTTCTGGTCATCATGCCACATCTTATTTACATAATCAATTCGATCTCACTTATCATACAATGCGTACTCTGTATCCAAATATAGCAAGTTCACGGCTTTCTGGTCATCATGCCACATCTTATTTACATAATCTATTCGATCTCACTTATCAGGCTTGTTTTCATTGTGCTGTGTATTTGAATAGTGTTGTGTATGAAGGATATAACTGTACCAATGCGAAAAAATAAAATAAAGTGAAAATAACAAAAAAACCTATTTTGTGCTACTTTTGCGTTTCCGTTTGTTTTTTGTTTTTGTGCAGAGGATATATATACTAGGCACATAAAGAAAATGTGCATACAAAAATTTAAAATCTAAATTTATCAAACTTGTGTAGACACATAAGGATTTAAACTCAGAGATTAGTGACATGTATCCAACATGCATGCACGTGCCACGTTCCGTGACGTCAGTGGGTTCGTCCTTGAGACGTGCAATACATTGTTGCACCTGCATTCCGGGAAAGAGAAACAGAGCAAATGAATGCCACACAATACTGTCACTTTGGAAAGCTCAACCCCTGCCCTTGCAATCGTTCAAAAAATTAAACGGCTATTGAAACGCATAGCATGCCATGGCTCACGTCTGCACAACGTCATGAGGCCATTGGGATGGTCCGTGGGGGAATGTCTCAACGACAACTGGCTGCACATTTCCACTGCCACCGGAACACCATTTCTGCACTGGTGAGACGCTACCAGAACACAAATGACGTCATCGATCGGCCACGTTCTGGACGTCCACGTGTAACAACGCCAAAACGGGACATATGGATAAGGGTGACCCATCTTCGCCACAGGTTTCAGACTGCAGTGATGACTGCCCGAACCATCCCAGGACTTGGATGGATCGACGTCTACGCCGTCTTCCTCATCCGCCAGATAACGTCCTTGACCTTGCAACAGAACTTGAGAGAATCTGGCGTGACATCCCACAAGCCTTCCTTGCACGTTTGATAGGCTCTATGCGTCGTCGATGCACTGCTGTTCTCAATGCCGATGGTGGACATACCCGTTATTGAGCTTGTGACATGGTCGTTTGACCCCTGTCTCGCTTGTGGGCTCGTGACGTCATTGTGATTGACTTTTCAATTGAAATTCTCCCGACTTGTTATGGTCTCATGATCCCTCCATTAAAGTTTATATGTACCTTTGACATTGTTATCGTACTTATCAACTGGGATAATATTTTGACAATGCACAGTTTCTTTATGTGGCTAGTATATATCACTACATAAGGTAGATTAAACCTACCCTATTTTGATGTTATACTTTCATGTAAGACATGCAATTTCTCTTTCATTTTTTTTCATTTTCAAAAAGTAAAAGCTGTTTCGTGGTTTTGCTTTTGAAATATATCAGTTAATACACAGTTAATGCTCATTTTGACTGATTAAAGGTAAAGATATTTTACATGACTATTCCGTAAATAGAACTTGCAACACCATCAGTGTTGTAACCAAGCGCATGATACCCCATCCACTTTCTAGGTCGTGTCAACAAGGCTAGTCCAACTTGAAAAGCCACGTAGAATTTTTTAGTTTCGTTTACAAAGATCTTACCTTACTCCGAAAAGCGTCTGTAAAATTGTGCAAATTCCACACATGAACAATGTTGAAGAGAACAGCCTCGTTCTTATAGGACTATCAGCAGCTGCACACAACACGTCTGAGACGATGAAGCTTGTGGCCAAACACGATGTCAGGCTCAACAATACATGCTGGAGAAAAGACGTAAACACAACCGTTATATGTTTAGAACGTAACGAACTTGAGACAATTGATGATAACAGTGGATTAGTGAGTCTGGTTAAACGCCGCTTTGAACAGTATTCACGTTGTATCACCGCTTGCCTGCTTGATGCAGGAGAAACTTTATGTCATGCTTGTATGCTGGGCTAAATTGTTTACTGAAGAGTGAGTGTATCCAAGGAAACAAAACATTCTTGAGTGACCTAAACCTGGCGCACTTTGGTTTGTTTGTTTGTTGTTTAACGCCGCTCTCCAACGTTATGGCGGCGGTCTAACTAATCGAGTCTGGACCAGACAATACAGTGATCACTGGAAGGATATAATCTTAGTATCAAACCACTCCAATCCCAATCAAACCACTGAGGATAACGTCATTCCCTGGAAAGAATACAAACTATATAAAAATTGTATATTAAGAAAACAAATATAACTCAATATATGAGGAACAAAGTGAGATAGTCATTATCCACGAGGGTTTTTCGTGTGTTATCATGTCTTCCCCATATACAATACAATGTAAGATCTGATTTTCAAACTCACAGCACAACATTTATGCAGTTCCCCAGAGGACAAGAAAATGAACAATCACACTATGTTATCCGAATGAAGTTGTCATCAGTCAGTTTCTACACACCTATGGTTGAGAAGCCCATGCAAGATAGCTGGAACCGAACATATGTCTGAGATCGAATTCCAGGTCCGTGCTCGGTTTCTCAGTGGTGATGACCTAATGTAAGATTTAGACGGACTACTTTTCTGAATGTGATCAGTGATAGGATACACGGGCTTCAATCTAACCCAGACCTGTTACTCTGCCAATAACCTTTATCATCACATGATATTTTCTCGACTGTATAGTAAATAGGTATTTATGCAATAAAACAAATCTAGAATAGATGACAACATGTATTTAATCTTCTTTTCTAATTCCCTTTATCATTTGCTACCATACTAAAGACTTCAAAATGGTTTGAGCAGTCAGTAAACATTTACATGAATATTGCCGCTAAGGACAGAGGATGTTATCTCCATTGCGGCTCCCCTTGTAACATACAAAATGTTCAACATTGGTATATTTTCTTGAGAGATGCGACAGTGTTCATGCGTCGTCTTGACACGGTAATGTCAGTGCATGTCCATGGTGAGATCGATTGGACAAGATAGTTGTTTGATGAGCTGAAGAAGAATAGCTCATCTCCAGCCCGTGTGACCATTCGTACATTAATAAATTCATTCATGGCAATCAAACCAAAAAATGCTGCGAAAAACAATTCTCAACATTAAACGTTTCCAGGTGTTTATGGTGTCAAAGGTGAAAATGTCCTATCGAATCAATTCATCCCGCAGAAACCTGGAAACATTTCATGCAATTACTAGCAATTAGCAACCATATACAGTTCGAGGCATATTGCCTGACAGACATCTTAAAAGCAAGCACAATTGTTATCTCTGATAATTGAATTCGAAACACTAAACACTTTTATCAGCTAAACAAAAAGCACTAAAGAGTTGAGGTATGGGTAACCTTCCACGTGACTGATGATGACTAGAATTCGGAATCCACTCATCTTGGGATCCGTAGCCTAAAAACACACAGTCTAAAAACTATTCATATTTCATCATCGCAACACCAGTAAAATCCTAAGTGGCAGTATCGGGCTCCTGGAATACAAGCAGGCTGTGGCTACGAAGAGTTGTCTCCCCTCGATAATAAACGTAACCTCACCAATGTCACATTCGAGCACACGGTTTGCCCCCTAATAACAAATACTCCTTAATATGTTCTGCTCTATGGGTTGACATTGAAAGTATACTTTGACAACAGTGAAAGAAACATATTACTGTCTGTCAGGTACTACGTATCTTATAACTCATTGATTCAAAACGATACATTTTGAAATGACTCGTTTTAACATAAATGGTATTTGATAGACACTCGTGCAGTAATCTTTAGGAAGTATGGAAGATCTGTATACAACTTGTACCTAATTAAATTAAGTGCATCCTTTATATAGAAATGTACAATCGGACATTTTAGTTACGGACTTCTTGCGGCACATGTATATAATACATGTGTCATTGTTCCCACTTTTCATATTGTCAAGTTTTGCCAAGCGTCGTTTCATATATAGTAGAATAATATCGTTTACAGCATATGCCAGTTAATGTTTTAATTATCCGTATTGATATGGGGTTTCTTTTCATAGAACTTATTTAAAATCTATTCTATGTCCATTTATAATTGATGTTATATATGTTATGACAAGTTCAATCATGAAGTGCTAATTGACAACAGATACTTGTGGCAGGTAACTTCATACTTTATGTTAATGTTAATCTTGATAACACTGAATATCGAGATTTGAAAAAAACAACATTTCATAGAAATTTTGGAAGATTTTACAATCTTCACATATAAATGTAGTGTTTGAACTGTAGACATCCAACTTAAATGTTCCGATAAGAAAGTAATATGGTTAATAATAGTGGGGCGCTGCATATCGCAGATGATGTGTGCAAACAGTATCAGGACCGAGACCCTATGTTCACATACAAGGAAGTGTTTACATCTTGCATAGGGTGTGTGGGCGATTCTAAACCTGGGATGAATTCACACATAAGAAACCCACGAGCAATTATAGCAGAGACAATCCTAGAAAATAATCTGGACGAACTTGAATTCTCATCATATGTTTTGCCATTCCGAGCCCTAAGACGACTGTACTACCCGATGCTTGCGAATGAACATATGTACAGTTTGGTTCACGTCTGACGTAGAGTACTTGCCTGTAGAGCTGCACTGATGATAAGCGGAACTGGAGGCATTTGTATCAAACTGTATTGAAGCTTTTCATCCTCAGTCCCAGATCGATCTCCTTCCCCATCCTCATTTAATGCTTTGTCTTCGTCGGTGATGCCATCAGTTGAGGACTGAGTGGGAACTTCTTCCTGTGTCTCACGGTCTTCTAAAAGTCCCATTCTTACAGCTTACCTTCTTCGGAGAGACCCGGAGTGCATGTAGTCCTCGTTAGTAGATAAGCGTGTGGTACGCTTTATCAGTGTTTAGCCGAAGTCACCAACGTCTTATCACTACCAGTGTAGCCAGATATTCAGTTATAAACCACCCGTCGAGCTATCTGGCGCTGTCTGTTAAGTATGTCAAATAAACACTATCAAGACTTTATTACCCCAAACAGGCGTTGCAATTAACCTTAGGAGCAGGAATCACACAGCTACCTGTAAATGGATCTCCGTGACGAACAACCAATTTGTTATACAGCACTAACCCTCTCAGAGACACAGGACCATATATGCTATACAATGCTACCCCCTTATTGTGTCAGATACATGCTTAGACACTATTCTGATGCGATTTTGGAATCAAACAGCGAGGCAAAACTATAACTATCACCTCTCAATTCTGTGATACAAATTGTGATACTCGCTGTTTCGCCATATATCTGGTGCATTTAATAGTTTGCAATACTATGTATGCTATTTTGTCAACACAACATTATCCCCACCGCAATCCACAGACCTCGGCAACATTTATCATTGGTCTTGTTGGAGCAAGGCGCCTGAGCATATTAGCATTGTTTTGGTCGTTAGAATGATCAAGACCTATCTGCACAGAGCGATCGTAGCGCTGCGACTGCTTTGAGTCTATGATACAACATGGGAATAGCGATCATCGTAGCACTCGTACAGCTTTGTGTATGTTGGTTCTTACCTTTTGAGAGGTAGTACGATTTCCTCGACCACCTGGTGTTATCACTAGATTTCAGTAATTATTTTTGTTATGTGGCAGTGTTATTTATTGTGATACTATGTTCTAAGTGTGATAATCTTTTGGGGCAGTGTTGTGCTCTATTTAGAATTAGGCTATATTTAGTCAGAGTTCTCGAGGTTTCCACCTTGTTTTAACCCACAGATTATACTCATGCCAATAATGGTTGTCACCCCCTTCAATCCTTTTTATTTGAGAGGGTGTGTGGGGCGTGAGTGGGATGGGGTGGGGACCGGGGTGACAACCATTATTTGCATGAGTATATTACAGAGAGATCGGGAATGTACAACACGGTGATGAGTTCATTGCTATTGTAATCACTGTTCTTGTATTTTATTACCTTAGAATTCGTTCTGCCGCCCTATTTTGCACTACCATAGTGATACTGTTGTATTGATTTGTGAATTTAGTTAATTGTGGAATACAAGTGTTAATTACATCACATTGCTTTGTTGTTTGATGCTTTCACACCTAGTTCTTCACGGTTAACTTTTTGTTTCAACTCGGGAATCAACACGTAACGATTAATACAATTTTCACAGCTATGTTACTCTTTGCAGGAACATTAGTCGTTTCTGAGATCGTCACGACTGGGTATTGTTTTGCTCTGACGTTTTATATTTGGAATGCCTAAAAATCCACGACCAGGGGCGTATCTACCATTATAAAAAGCCAGGGCTTAGACATGATGACTGCTGCTTAAAAGGTTGGGCAAGCCCTCAATACCTTCTAAATATAAAGCTTTGCAACCCTTCGGGCTTACACGACAAAAATGGCTTGCTGCGCGCCTGGCGACTCGTAGCTCGCCTAATACGTAGGTAGGACACTCTTTCCAGTGATTTGGTATTAGATTTAGTTGAACCATACTGCAAGTTGTAATTATATCTATTTGCTCTCTTTCCTCGTCTGCGTCAAAGATCCAATCAGAACATGATGTTAAAAATGAATTATCTGAAATTCGTCATGTCACTCACAATGGACTTCAAAATAACAAATGCATGATAGAGAAGACCTTTTGCTGTCATTTCGAGTACAATGAATGAATGTGTCAGTTTGGTTTCCAGTATGTCTCGGTGTGTGAGTTAGATGTGGGAGGCAATCGCGAAGTGATGGAGGTGTAAGACGATTACCACTTCGGTGAAACCCACGAACGTGGATATAGCGCTGACAAACCCACAATGTAATCGCAGCGACGTTGGACTTTGCTATACCTTTTTTTAGTTTAAACATATTTTATTCACAATGTGAAAAGGATCGGGGACAAGTTCTTTCAACTTATTAAACCCCTCTCCGAAGATATTTACAATAACTCACAAGTAACTTACATCACAAGCAATTATTAGAAACTGAGAAAGACTGAAAGATAACAGGGGGAAATGCTATAATACAAAAGGTGTATAGAGAGAAGACTACGGGACTATACCTATGCCACCCTGGTGTAGGCTACAGCTTCCCAGCTAACATCACGTAACTGGGCCGGTACTGGCATCGTTCTGGCCTGTACCGATGGTACTGGCATAATGTACGACAGTTTAGAGCCAGAACTGGACCAAAGTTTGTTTTCCGTTAGTGGCCCGTTACAGGCAAAACTGTACTGGTCCCCATATGGGTGGTTACCGTAAATACTGCACCACAATACTGTACCGGCCCAGTACTGAGCCCAGACAGTGCACTTCCTGTCTGGTGAATTGTTGGTGGTTATCTCAGGCCATGTCGTCTGGTCAAGAGAGGTGGACAAAAGGTAGAGTGTGACATGTTCCACATTTCTCAATGTAGATTGACTTAATGTGACACTAAAACGTAACGGTATTGGTGTGAAAAAACTTATAGAGACTACTTTTTCAACTAAGGTTAAGTGTTGAGCTAAATTTTGAAAAATAACATGCAGTATGAATTTCGCTGGAACAAGGGTAGTTTGAAACATTCAGTATGAATGTCATGTTGTTAGATCAAGGAAAACCTGTTGACATGCCTCATTCAAAAGCATAAATTCAATATATGGCTAGATTATAGTATTGTTTGATAATCATGTCATACTGGATAAAACGTCGGAAAGATTGAATTGTAAATGAAAATTTGAATTGAATTTCAAACTTGTTAAACAAGCTCACCCAGAAGGACAATGAACTCTGAGTCAATGAAAGAATGACGCATCATGTTTTCATCTTGTTTCATGAATTAAACTCGTTTGGATAAACTTGAGTTTTCTTGTTATTGTTGTTTTCTTTTTGGTATCAGCTTGTTTTAAATAGTAGAAAGTGTATTAAACTTAGTGCCGGCCAAACTGTAAAGGGACAATTTGCAACCGTTACAGCTGTGTACTGGGCCATACTACTGTGCCTGTAATGGTCCAGTTCAACGCCAATGTACAAAATAATACAGGCCCGGAATGCCTAAAATGGGCCTGATTTTCTGACTTTACTGGCCAGTAATGGCCCAGTTACGTGATGTAAGCTGGGTTGTCGGTGTTGTGACCCTGACCCTAATTCATAAACCATGTTAAACCAGTGGGGATTTACTCACTGTATTCAAACTACTGTCATCATTGTGTAAATTCAGTATCGCGAGAGTAGTGTCAAGTTGTAGTGCCCAGTCTGTAGAAGGTGTTGTAAATACGGCACTCTAGCCTTATGTTTGCATATGTCCGTGGCATGTCCGTTTGAGCACAATATGCCAGCGATTACATACTTGCATATATTATAATTGTGTTACTGTTTTGCAGGAGAGACACGATGTGAATAAATCTTTACATACCCAACGTCACGTCCCTTGTAAATCATCCCAGGGAGAGATGCATGACCACGTGTCTGTCTTGTATGCATGGTGATGGTGAATGTAAGTCCTATGTCGTGACCATAAATGAGATACAGTGCCTCACATAGGTATGCAAATATACTGTAAAATCAAGTTAATATATACCCAGAGACGGTGTTATTGTGGCCTTGAGGTGTGGAAGCCTACGCGATGAAAGAGCAATTCCTGTGTGCAAATAGGGACAGACCTTACAATACGTTAGAACGGGGTATTATATAATATAAGTGGACTCTTCATTGTACAAACAATGAATCGACTCCTCACATGGGTACAATGTGCGAAGATATTTTCCGGTTCGTTCGTTGTGCTATTGCTGGACATACCTAAGGTGGAGTAGACCACATTCCCTCACTGAAATACACTCCTGGAATACTGGAATACACACTAGTCACACACACTCGACGTTTTCATCAGTCAAGAACACACACTAGTCACACAATCACGTTTTTGATCAGTCAAGACCACACACTAGTCACACAATCACGTTTTTGATCAGTCAAGACCACACACTAGTCACACACACAGAGGTTTTTGATCAGTCAAGACCACACACTAGTAACACACACTCAGGTTTCTATCAGTCAAGACCACACACTAGTCACACACACTCAGGGTTTTGATCAGTCAAGACCACACACTAGTCACACACACTCAGGTTTTTGTTCAGTCAAGACCACACACTAGTCACACACACTCAGGTTTTTGTTCAGTCAAGAGCACACACTAGTCACACACACTCAGGGTTTTGATCAGTCAAGAACACACACTAGTCACACACACTCAGGTTTCTATCAGTCAAGACCACACACTAGTCACACACTCAGGTTTTTGTTCAGTCAAGACCACACACTAGTCACACACACTCAGGTTTTTTATCAGTCAAGAACACACACTAGTCACACACACTCAGGGATTTTATCAGTCAAGAAAACACACTAGTTCACTTCAGTGTTTTAGTTCACTTCAGTCTAATTTAAATAGATTCTTTAAGGTTGCAATGTAGTTTGTAACACAAACACATAACTTACAAGTTTATGCTGTACTAGAGGGTCATTGCAGGATGGTAATGAACACAATCTTATAGAAGTAAAATGAGACAAAGATAACTGAGGTAAGTACTGCATTTCTTAGATCTTCGTTTATAGGACATAGGCTTATGGATTCTTCCTGTGTTTATAATAACTTAACAACACAGGTGAACATGAAAAATGACAACTTTATTCACATACAACCTTTAAACCATATACACATGGTATACACAATATTTGGCGTTAGGGGATTCCCATGCTAATACTCTTACTACGAGCTAAAACTTATTGTTATAAACCTGAACCACTGTAGTTGAGCATCAACCTATGATTGGTACATTGTTACCCAAGCATTGGGCGCAAACTTTGAATTTAGAATGCTTGAGCATCAACCTGGATCTGCAAGCTTAGATTGAGCATCAGTCCTTGCCACTACAGCATGTTATATCGCACACACTTTTACCCAGGTTTGAACATACTCTAGACTCAGCATCCGTCAGACTAACCCCAGCATGGGGTGCTGGAACACCTTACCCACCAGTCTTTGATAAATCCAGCCCGATGTTATATTGCACATACTACTATCCAAACCTGGGTTTGAACATACTTAGACTGAGCATCAGAGCTACCATTCAACTGGTTGACACAATGAATGATGACGGGGGGGAGAGGTCCGATATCCCCTTGACCTTTGATATTTGACTGCCACAATGATCAGGAATAATCTTCCTAATAATTTTCGTTTATAGGACATGGATTCTTCCTGTTAATGTTTAGACCATGTAGGCCAAATCTGAAGCGAGTAATTATGTAATAAAATTCCTGCACCGTAGGTTTGATTCTGGTTCAAATAAGAGCGTTGGTTCCGAAATAGTTCCAAAGAGTCTCAAGGAACCCGTAGGTAAATCGCTCTTTAAATAGTTTAATCATGACACCAGTGCCTTAAAAAACTATTGTCCTGTGTGTGCCCTTTTTGTCGAAGATTATAGATAAAGCAGTGAAAACCCGACTTCTCAATCCTCCATTAAGAGAGTGAGTATAGCGGTACGGGAGGACTAGTGCCTGGGTGAATCTGTTCTTGGATGGAATCGCCCTGGAGTGATCTGATGGTTGAACTGAGAATTTTGGAAGTTACCAAGGAAGAACATAAGCCACGCTCATAAATAAAACAGTCCATTCGGGATTCAAAGAACCATTTCCCCTTTACGCCCCGTACCTCCCCTCCCTCCAGAACGAGTGCAAAAGGGAACCTTTAGAAGGGGTTTCAGTGAGGTGCGTTCTCACGGTGCGACTTGTATAACAACTTGAAGCATACGACTTGTAGTAACAACTTGAAGCATACGACTTGTAGTAACAACAAAGATCGTGACGGCATCGTTATTTGTGTATTTGTTAAGGCGCAAACAACTCGTATCTCGCGAGATTCTCACGTGTGAATCGTTGAGTGAAGAATAAACGATAGCGTTAATGTCAGTCTACATATGAAAAAGGAGAAGAGAAATCCTAAAGCAGTGTGGGTGGGTTTCCTGTCTGGAAGGTCGATATTTTTCGGTCGTGTATTCGACATGATGGTATCATCATAAACAAAAGGGACGTCACTCTGAGGTGAACACAGATCTAAGCGATTTGATTGGTCGAGATCTTGCGACTTGTAGTAGGAATTGTCCAGTGTCTTACAACTCGGCTGCAACTAGTATGCGATTTCAAATCGTTACGATTTGGGTGTCTCACGTTGCAAATGTGTTACTACAAGTTGTTACTACAAGACTTTAGTCTCACCGCTAGAACGCGCCTTTAACCAGTGGTGTAGCTGTCCTCAGTCATCAGTAGTATAGCAAGCAATAGAAAACTTCCTACACTACGTCAACTACCTTGTTAACCAATCAGCGGGTAGCCTAACTGTTGACGGGTCCCCCTACCAAGCGTATCCTTGGGGAATTTACTCTTGGCTGATACTCAGGGTTCGTTTCGAATGATCACCGTTATCTAACAATGAAGATTACGGACACGTTATCTTGTCTGAGACGCTCGTCCGCGGTCCGTCCCTGAATCTTATTGTCAGCAGATGATCCGACTGATCAGGTAATCAGCGGATTACGATAGACATCTCCACGAGCATGGTATACAAAGGTATATTAACCTGAATCTAAATTAATCCTCAAAGCACTTGGTGCTCTGCTAATATACAACAACGATTATACACAATAGGTTATCCAATTCGTATCAATATGAAAACCGTGTTCGGGACATTGGCAAAGCAAGACGATTTTGGAAAGAACGGTCATTCAGGAAATGTTGCAGTTTGTTCGGACCATTTCAAACTGTACGAATAAGTCGTCATGAAAACGTTTTGACACAATATTCTTCTTATTGTGTCTACATCTATAAAACAAATAAAACCCACACACGGTGCTGTTGTGACACCGAAATATAGTCCAAATCGATTATCGATACATTGTACAGGTAACGAAGTCTTCAAACCTTCGTAAATGATATCATTATGTAAGGAAAAGAAATCAAAACATTCAACAACGCCAGCTGTTGGTATATAGTAGGCTATCCAGTGTTATCCATGGTCTTGAAGACAAGAATACGTCTAGTACATAATCCCGAGGTAGCGTGCCCTTAAACACCTATAGAAGAATAAAAACATATGCTTTACAAATCCGTTATCTTAGATATATATTGTAAGCATGGACCCTGGGTTTCAGTATGTCATTTCATCTTGTGGATCCCATACCTGCTATTGACAGGTGTTGTGTACTTGTCAATGACTCGTTCCATGATTTGCAAAATGGTTGATTTGTGCGATGAAAACCATTTTTATGGTTACTGATGTATCAAGTGCATAAGGTTAGATTAAAGTGACTGTTTGCCTAAAGAGGGGTTACCATATCATTTTTTTATCAAGTTTTAAATGGATACAATTTCAAAACATAAATCTACGTTTAAGTAAGGTTGTGAATTTTGTGATCCTTAGCAAAGTGTTAGTAGTATATATAGCATTGCTATCTGAAAACAACATTTGGGAATGAATTATTTTCAATGGCATGACCGCCATCATAATGTCTTGATCAGGGTAGCCAGATGCAGTAAAGGTTCGGTTAAAAAGACATATCAGTTCCAACCTTTGCTCCAGGTTTCGATCAATTTGGCTACCAAATCATGAAACTGCGACAACACAAAGCGCAAATCACCTCATTGTGTTTATTTCTTTTAGTGGATGATTTTCGAGTCGGTCAAAAAATCCTAAACGGGTATTTCAGTTATGTAGTCATCTTTAGGGTATTTTTCTCCATGTTTCTGTGATAAACCGAATTGTACACATGGTGTCGTACATTAACATATCTGTTTGACCCGTTTCCATTTAAATGACGCCTCATTCGTGTTATGACTCGTATAATATTAGAAAGCAATTTTTAATCACAACAATTTGTATTTGAATGCACTAACTTTGTCACTTTGAAGGCTCTCAGGAGTACTCGGATTAGACCTTTCTTATATACACGTACACCCATTTAGCACATTCAACGGTTCTACGCATGCCTGTAAACTTAACACATCTATACTCACAGAATATAAATAATTTACAACTGTCATCTGCCACAGTTGATCTATGGTGCATGTAGTAGAACTATGTGTCTCTCGCAAAGGACGAAAGGACACTGTTGTGTAAGTGCAGATTTCCTGACCCCTCGTGGAACCTTTGTTCTATGGGTGTATTTATGGTAGTTGTAAGTGGTCTTACTTCCATTACTAGCATTATCAGGTTTATTGCTATTTGAAGCACGCTACATGACTTGCAGTCTTAGGTTTAATAATATATAAGCCATACACTTGAGATGTTTAAAAATGCCAGATTCTTAGCCTCACACTGTGATATTTACCGACGGAAACAGTGCCGGGACAACACAGTATGTGGATTATTCTTAGTGCCAAGGAATGTGAATGTACCCTTTTTCTGAACTAAATTAACCATAAAGAATTATTTCCAAATGTTTTTACTGATACCAACTGGCATTTTTCATTTACTGAATTTCTGAAATCTACCTATCAACGAGCTTACAAACATGGGTTTTTTCGAAAGTATATATGACTCTCATGTAGATTAAAACTGCCAAAAGCTTATTCTATTATATTTGTTCAGAATATTGCAATTTTGCCACGCCAATCTATTTCAAGACACCCATGAAGATCAGGGTTATAACTGGTCAGACGCATGTTTGTCACAAGACGTGACACTGGATGTCATAGTCCGGCTTGCTGACTTGAGTCATTCAAATTAATCAAAATGCGTAGATCGATGCTTATGATGTCAATCACTGAATTGTTCATCCAGAATCTATTATCTAGAGACACCCTGTATATAGCTGGGATATTGTGACTTTAAACAATATACATACAAACAAATTCAGAGCTTATTTTCTCTATGGGAATACATATATAGGAAATTCATTCACTGATAGTGCACTTTATACTCAAGACGTGTTTACACCTAAAGGCTTTCACATACTGAATTGTGCGTAATATATCAATTAAAATAACATCCATAAAACATGATGTTGTTACCCAATGCTATATTGGAAACCCTCTCTTCTCCGAGCTCTTTTTCCTTCTTTCTTTCCCAGAACACAACCTATTCTATTGTCCAATATGGTATCTTCAGGCCGGACCCTATCACCTGCCAGAACAGAAAGAGTTAAATTTCACCCTTACAGAAACCGAAATTAAGGCCCCAACAAGATAACACTGGACGCCATTAGAGCTTATCTAACACTTTGACCACTTCACCTACTGACTCACTTCAGCACCTCCATAAATATTACTGTATATATACTCACAAGTATTATATGGATCATAACATTTGTCCATGTACATTTCTGTAATAGTATTTCAATAGTAGCGTTGGCTTTCTTTGTTCTTCTTTGTACCGAAATAGCATATAAGCATATCGCAAGAGCATATCCTTCAACTGTGTCCATCCCACCCCCTTCCTTCTATTGACAGCAGAGTCGATTAGTCCTCCTAAACAATACATTTGTTCTCGCCGGTCGTAACCCCTGGCACACGCGCCCTTATTTGTTACCAGCGACCAATGCGATAATTGTATAGGGATGTGTTTAATAAACTTCTTGTCCACTGAAGTCTTGACAGACAAATTTGTAGAGATTGAATAAACTCATCGACAGTTATAGATCCATACGTCTTGTGAGGTTAGAGGTATTAACGCCGTTATTTAAACCGGAAAAGACAACATACGAGGAATGGCTAACATGTTTTGAGCCTCACTGACTAAGTTGACACATGTCATCGTATCCCTATTGAGTAGATCGATGTTCATGCTGTTGATCACTGGATTATCTGGTCCAGGCTCAATATAGCTGGAATATTGTTGAGTGCAGCGTTAAACAACAAACTAAAAACACTAGTGAGTGAGTGAGTTTAGTTTTACGCCGCGCTTAGCAATATTCCATCTATATGGCGGCGGTCTGTAAATAATCGAATCTGGACTAGACAATCCAGTGATCAACAACATGAGCATCGATCTGCGCAACTGGGAACCGATGACATGTGTCAACCAAGTCAGCGAGCCTGACCACCCGATCCCTTTAGTCGCCTCTTACGACAAGCAAGGGTTACTGAAGATCAATATTCTAACTCGGACCTTCACGGGTGTAAACAAACACTAAATAATTGAAACAAATCTATGATCACACTCCTAAAAATGCGTAAAACAGAAGAAAACGTAACAAGTAACATTGTATTGATGTATGGCTTACATCGAGGTACCATAAGGGAGCGGACCCCTTATTTGTCAACTGATGAAAAGATTCGAGAACTAGAGACCAAATCTGGGATCCACACAAAGTTGTGTATAAGCACCTGATATCTAGATGATGTGATTTTTTTCTGACGAGTATTTCAAATTGTGTATTTCATTGTTCGGGGGCATAAAAGGCAGGTAAGACAGGAAATGTAGCTTGTTGTAGAGACTTGGTACGCAATTCCAACCATATGCAACCGACGAGGAAATCTTATTCGTGACGGCTTCCCCTTCCTGAGGGCTGGAATCTGGAACCGACCGCCATTTTGCAATTCCTCTGTCCTCAATCGAACCTGGAATAATTGTAATTTTATCCTTTGATTAACTGAGATGCATAGATCAAACAAAACCATTTTGGGAGCGATGAGGAGTATTGCGGTTCAATACAGTCTATGGCGGACCACCAGTGTCTATCACAGTGTCGGCCGGGACACAGAACAACATTTTGTGAAAATGTGAAACTTAAGGATGAGTTTGAGTTAAGTCCCCGTTGCACTAGTTCTGAGACAGTGGCCTTTCAAAAGTCATTCGAGAGATTGATCAGGAACGATCGGTACCGATGAGAGACAATCGGCAATGTAATCGACATTGTAACCATTGAAACCGCTTGCACTTAAGCCCATGCCCTCTTTACTTTGAATACAGTGTCTGTAACAAGTACAAGTATAATACTGTGCCTACCTTTCACGGTATTATCAAGAATCACAGCAATCATACCGCCCAGGAACATTGGGGTACCAAAGATCACTTTCAGAATGGCATTACCTTCAGTGTTTCCTGCAAATAAAAAAGAATAGTACAATGTTTACCATGACTAGACATAAAACACCTAACAGGTCCTGCCAAAGATACATGTTCTTTTTTAAATTAAAGAAGGCATGTTTTATTTCAAGGACTTTCGGGATTTGTCTTTCAACCCCTCCCTCTCCTTCCTATCCCAAGCATAAATTGACAGGCCCCTCGATAACAACGCGATTGTTTACTTTTATCGCCGAGAGTGACTGTTAAGTGTGTGCGGTCTTGTGCATAGAGCTCAGGTCACAAATCAGTTGAAGTTAAGCAACGTTGGGCGCGGAGAGTCCTTGGATGGGTGACCGCGTTTGGCAGCTTGACTCCCGAGAGATTCTAGGACTTAAGCCCTGCCCCACAACGAAGCACATGTGATACACGTGGTCTCACCTTAGGCAAACGAGTTTGTTCAAAATTGCCTCTACTCACACAGCAGAAAACGCGTACCGGGTGGCATACGTCATGCGACTATAACCTTCTGGCGCCTAACAGGCAGCTTGGGTTATCCGGGGTAATGATGTGTTTATGCGTTTTCAGCATACCTTCATGGCGTGGAGACAGCGAAAGATAAATGTCATTACTATTAATACGAGTGCACATTATATACCTGTGTTGATAAAGTCTGGATGCAAGTTAATCCACTCGGGAAGACATATACCAACAAACATTGCCGTCCCCAAAATTGTGAGGTTTCTGGACGAAGTCAAGTTGACATAACGGAGTGTAGACAACCCAAGGGCGACCAGCATCCCCAACGTTGGGAGGAGGACACCCCCTAAAGCTGGGTTGGGTATGGAAGCCAACCCAGCACCAAACTTCCCAAGGAAGGCAAAGATAAGCAGCAACATTCCTGCACAGATCATCACGTGCCTGCTCGCTGTCTGAAACAGTAAAATTCTCCAATCACTAACGCATAGCTTCAGAAAACTAACACAGAAACCTAATTCGGACTCAGTAGTTCTAGCAATCATACAGGCAGATTATATTAAGCAAAAATATTTTAGATACACATAGATCTAAACATAAAATAATAATAATAATAATAATACGGTAGATTTGTAATGCGCCAAAACAACTCCAAGGCACTTGGTGCCTGCTCATAGCGGTACACAAGTTTAAAATTCACTGCAGTAGAGATGCCATATTTTCACTAGTAATTTAATCTTTATAGAACGTTTGGAAGAGATATGTCTTTAGGCAGCTTTTAAATGTTGCCAATGATCTGGCTATATTTATTCCCAAGGGAATATCGTTCCACATAGTTGGGGCTATGTAAGCAAATGATCTCTGTCCATACTTTTTGAGGCGGGTTTTGGGTACTTTAAGAAGTAACTGATCAGCAGATCTTAGTGTCCGAGAGTTTGGCAAACTGTTCCTGGGTTAGTTTTCCCAACAAGCTATTTGCATAGTCAAGGCTTGTCAATACAAGTGTTCTTGTTAGTATATGCGCCATATCAGGAGAGAGAAGATCTCTAATGGAACCAATATTCCTGAGATGAAAATAGCAAGTGTAACAGATTTTAGGTGTGTGATCATCCATTGATAGATAATTGTCGGAAACAACGCCAAGATTCTTGACACATTCTGAAACTGTAATCGTCCCCTACTCGAACAGTCTTCACACCAGCAGCCAACCGTTTTGGCAGAGTTCCTGCAAGTAGAGCCTCCGTTTTGCTGTCGTTTAGATTCAGCTTGTGCATAGTCATTCCAGGATTTGATGCTATCAGTGCACACTTCTAGTTCAGTCACGGAGCAGCATGCATATTGGGGCAAGAAAACTTTGAGAAACTGTGTATCGTCTGCGTATTTATGATGATTTACACTAGAGTTTGAAAGATATTTGAACAGATCAAAAGTGTATAGTGTGAACAGGATGGGCCCCAGCAAAGATCCTTGAGGAACACCATACTTTAGGACGGCAGTTTCAGAATTGGAGTCACCGATGCAAACTGACTGGATTCGACCAGAAAGGTATGACATAAACCATTTCAGCACAGATCCTACAATACCTATCGACTCCCACAGTGTTGCTGAGAGTTGTTCATGATCGATGGAATCAAATGCCGTAGAGAGATATAACAATACCAACAAGCCCACACACCCACCATCCACAGATGTCAACAAATCATTCATAATGCGAAGCAATGCTGTTTCAGTACTGTGTTCTGGCCTATATGCAGACTGATTCTTATCCAGTAAGCCAAATCTGACAAGATGTAAGGTGAGTCTATACTTCACAGCCCTTTCAAGCACTTTAGAAAGGAAGTATAGGTAGAGACAGATCTGTAGTTACTGAGGGAAGACATGTTTAAGTCTTGCTTCTTTAGAAGAGGTTTGACTGATCCTGTTGAGAGACCGTTATTGACAATCCTTGTGATCACTGGAATAAGCACATCAATATCTTCATGTAAAACTTTGTAGGCATCGGGTCAAGATCACATGTTGTGGATTTGCTTTCGTTTATCAAAGTAAGAATTTCGCTCTCAGAGAAGGTGAAGCTTGGTGAAGCAATCCAAAGGAACTCCACAAAACGCAGCAGAGTCAAAAGCTGTGTCTTCTCCAGAGCATGTATTATCCAAGTCGTTACGTATTCTCTATTTTAGAGACAAAATAGGAGTTGAAATCATTTGCAAGATTTTTATCACAGGTGCGAGGACATCCTCGATAATCTCCAGGGTATACGTTCCGATAAATCTCCACTATACCTTGGATCCATCTACGGCTCGGCCTGATGATTTTATTACCTCCCTTGGTTGGCTTTTTATCCAATCAGGCGTCTACGCTGGGAAGTTGAGCGTACCAATCACACCTCACTTTCGCTGTTAAAATTATCTTACCGATTAACTCGTCAGGCCATGCATGTCAATAACAAAGTGTTAGGGGAAAGGTCAGTTTATTTCTGACAACATAAAAATATACATTAACATTCCTCCTTATAATATACAGTCAATAAAAGTTTAAAGGGCTGTCTCTCGAGTGAGTATCGCTCCGCGCCCCAGGTCACACCACAGGCCACATGTCACAGGTCACAGTCCGTTAAAACAAAATAATCCCCACTTCTGCTATTATTTTTACATTAAATTTGGCAACACAATAATATATTGCTGCAGAGGTACTCTGAAAGAGGTAGAAGGAGTTCTTGCATATACTTTTTTAAGGTTTAAGACCTGTCAATTTGTCTGTATGTTTTCCCCCCAAATTTTCGCGGCTGCGACTGGTATCTTTGTTGCCACTGGCAAGCTCGGTGGTAACGGCGGCTTATCTGATTGTTACTGTGATAAGGGAGGTAAAGCAAAGGGAGGTAATAAAATCATCGGGCCGAGCCGTAGATACATCCAGGGTATAGTGGAGAGTTATCGGAAGGTATACCCTGGAGATTATCGAGGATGGTGCGAGGAGGGAAAACAGTTTTCTTTTCTTTTCCCACGAGCGACGAAACAAATTAATGTAAGGTCTTAGAATTGTTAGTACATTTCACAATTTTGGATTGGCAATATTTGGTTTTCGATTTCATAATTACCATTGTTACTTCATTTCTAGCTATTTTTCATATCTGTCTATGGACGTCTAGTCTTGACTTTCTCCACTGTCGCTCAGCTATTCGGCGTTGCTGTTTAGCCTTGTGAACATCTTCACAATACCACCTTGTGAATATCGTCACAATACCAGGAATACTTTTAATACTCAGGATTTCTGCTGGTTCCGCTTCTTCACAACAACAGGAGCGTGTTTGTTATAAAGATCAGAAAGGGTTTCGTTATACGAATGAGTAAGATCCGTTAGGTCATTGGGAGGACTTGGGACAAGTGAAGTGTTGGCCTACCTTTAGAATACAGCACCACAAACTTTAAAAATACGTCATAATACCCTTTTACGTAATGTAATGTGATTTTGTTCGAAAGCACGTTCTCGATACAATGCCCTATGACGCCTGCATGGCAACACGGTTGTCTGGCTCAGCGAGTGCGTATAAGCTCCGCTCACTGGTGTTTCATCTCTACGAGCTATGTCATTGCATAAGCCCAACGATGTTGAGAGTTTCCAGTAGTTGTATACCGGCGGATGCGCAATATTTTGCAAGCACCAGTTTGAAATATTTTTCTTTTTTTCACTAATACGCTCATATTTATTTGTATTACAGGCTGCTGAGGTGTTATGTTTTGTGTATTTTGTATTTTGTAATTTTTTAAATTTACATATATATTTTTGTCATTCAGTAATTTGCACCATTACATAGAAAAGTGTTTTATTAGTATTTTATTTTTCGAAGCGGTAATAATGCATTACACTAGTCAGTCGTGTTTGTGCCGGTTCGGTCAATGCATTCTATTTATTAGGATTAATTCAAGGGATTGGGGTTAGGGTTAGGGTTAGGGTTAGGGTTAGGGTTAGGGTTAGGGCTAGGGGTTAGGGCTTAGGGCTTAGGGCTTAGGGTTAGGGTTGGGGACCTAATGCAATATAGTAGGTACTTGTCCGGTGGTTCGGTCAATGCATTCTATTTATTAGGATTATTTCAAGGGGTTAGGGTTAGGGTTAGGGCTGAGGGTTTAGGGTTAGGGCTGAGGGTTTAGGGTTAGGGTTAGGGTTAGGGACTTAATCCAATATAGCAGGTACATGTCCGGTGTAATACGTGAGTACCATTTGTTGTTTTTCTTTTTTGCATTTTAATACTTTTTTTTCACACAAAAACGGGAAACCAAAAACGTCGAAAGTACATTATGAAATGGGTTAATGTAGAAATTTTGGGCTAATGGAAATTGAGCCTGGAATTTGCACTCAAGCCTCTTTCACAAGCAAAATAAATTTTGTTCAGTAATGATTCGAAGGCTAACTCACCCTCGTGCCGTCACTACACATGCTCATGTCTCCCTCGTTCCTTAGTGCGATCCACATTATCCTTACAGTGTTCCCTACATCACCTTTCTGTCACAAAATCACCGATTTATATAAAAGCGCGTCATTCATGCATGCACCGTGAAATCCACGTCTGACGCCTGACGTCAACAACCCTTTTCAGTTTGAGGCATATCGGCTCATTCCACGCCACACGTTATCTTGCAGATTACGGAATGGGACGAGTGTGCCAAATGGCATCGGATCCATTCGGCAATTGTCCGAAGAATAAAATCACGCGACACCAAGTCTACCCTTAGCATTCGTAATTGTCCGTGACTTATTCGACTCTTTCCGTTCATTTCCGTGACGTCACAGGAATGACTCGATAAATTTGCACATTGTGCAACAGTGTGGACGTAGCTCAGTCGGTTAGCTGTCGAGCTAACAATCCGAAGGTCGCGGGTTCGCGTCCGACGGGTTCTCACAAACTGGTTGCTTGTCTTAATGACATGTGACCTACGGCAGAGATCGTCCTCACGAGGAGTTGTGGTGCTGTATTCTAAAGGTGATCAAGTTTTCTCTAAATAGTTCTGGATTGATATATGTCAGATTCCGATATTTCTACTCAGCTAGTTGAGGCGGTGGGTTAGTCAGAGACGTTCTGAAGACAATAAAGAAATGGTCAGACATCACAAGGACTTCTAGACGCTACCCAGTCAATAGTATGTCCATTTCCATGAGTAGGGACATTCACATGTTGAACTAGATCATGGCTATCAAGCAGTATCTTATCCGAGTATCTTATGTTTCACGATGCCATGGCTTTATTATACGTCACAATCCAGAGACAGATGAGACTGAAACCAACAACCAATAACAATGCCTACAAAATGCAAAATTTAGCGTTGCGTCATTCGCATAATTTGTTGATAAACAGACAAACACATTTGTGTCGAAGTTGAAGGATCGTGTGTAAACACTTCGAGTTATCGACACAGCCAAAAAAGGACGAATGAAGAAAGCATACGAAGGGATCAAGCTTTTGCTTCAAGATGTCAGTAAGTTCGACACATCGATACAATGGTGTGTTAGTGTATATCAAAATGAATCATTCGCTTCTCTAACTTTACCTTATTTTTGGGGGGATACAAGATGTATAGGTCACAGATTTATAACACACAAATATTTTCTCTGCAATTAGTAGCCGGCTTTTGTTCGAACACAATATTCTTTTATAAAGCCCAACGTCAATACAAGCCATTAAAGCTACAGTTATATATAGTATTCCCAGAAAACTTGTTTCGGCAAATATCTGATACATGTATATATGTTTTACGTAAATGAATATGTTGAGATATGAATCTCTTACAGTGTAAGTGTCTTTTCAGTACTTTGTGACACCTCCTTGCTGAACTGAACTGAACTTTATTTCAACTCAGGCCTCAGATAGTGGCATATGAGGATACATATATGTTACAATTAAATATATTCATTTAGTTATATACAATATATGTGCAGTCGAGTATTTCATATATACAGATGAATAAGTAATGCATACATTAAATATATTTATAATAATATTACAGACTAAAACGAGTTTTCTAACAATTCCTATCTTAATGTTATTGATTAATGTATATATTTTATGAAACTTTGGTCTGGTATAAAAATTTGGCTTTAAGTATTTAACTCTTGCATTTATAAAGTGAGATCAAATAAATAAATGATGAAATTCATCGCCGATGTCGTTACCATTACATTTTCGTCCGACAACCACTGTTTTGAGTAGCCAGCAGTGTGTTTTGGGTCGTTATCATGCTGGAAAATCCAAATATCTTCATATAGTGTTCGGGGCCGTTGGAAGGAGGTGACCATTTAAGATGCCAACATATCGTTCCTTCGTCAAATGTTCAGTGAAAATACACAACGGCGTCACTCCACGCGATGATATCCCAACCCACATGTCTAATTTCGGGCTGTTTTGGGCGTTGGTAGATAGGTTTCACGGTATCATTTGTCCACATTTTCACACAGTTCGGAAAAGTCCAGACAGCACTTTCATCAGAAAAGAAAACATTATCAGATTCTTGATTTTCGTGAGCCCTGCACTTGCATATTCTTCAAAGTTCTGTATACTGTAGACAGAGGAATATCATGTCTACCAGGTAACTCTTTTGCATTAGTCACACCCCTTTCAAAATCATCTCGAACCAGCTTTCTTTCCTCTTCTGCTGTCAAATCTGTCATGTCAACAAATAAGCCGTCTGCTACACCAGGGGATATAAATCATGATGAAGTAGGGTTCATTCTTAAGCTTACAAGAGTTGCCTCCTTTATTGAATGCCTTACTACGTAATGTAACACCTATTTTATAATTCTATTATCAGTATTAGGAAAAAAATCATCCCCATAATTTCTGGGAAAACTGTACAGTTTGGTGGCTAATGATGGGACGTCTGTGTGAAACAACCCCTGTGTGAAGCAACGTGAGATATGTATGGCATGTCTAACATTACCTTCGACACAGAAATGGCTGCAATGTTGCTGCTGTAGGACGTCGTGGCATGGCCGACACCCGTGGCACCAGATAGTAGACCACCTATCCCTTCCATCAAGATCCCTCTGTTTACCGCGTGATTTGGCGGAGTATCCACTTCACATGCCTTCGACGCAGCGAAATAGTCCCCCACGGACTCGACCAACGATGCAAGGAAGGATGCGCAAAACCCGATAAACACCGCAACGTTAAAACCTGGCATTCCGAACTGACCTGAAATGAGATTATACCCCATCTCATTTTTTAATAATGTGATTTTTTTAGTGTCATTTTAGAAAATGGGAAGTACCATATGCTTGATCCATAACATTTGTCTATATAATCTGAAATTTCTCTGTCATAGGGTATTGCAGAAGGAAAGACCCAAAATGAACCAATTTTGTGTATCCCATGGCATATATCTTTACCAATATACCTGTATATCGCTGTTGACTGTAGACAAGTGAAATTACTATCCAGTACTGTTCTATCGAATAATATGTGTTATTTGTGACAAGAGGACAGAACTTTGAACAGTTTCGTGTTTTTAAACTGTTCTATCTTTCAGACTGAAGGAGACGGATTCCAGAAAGGCTTATATTTACGCATCTAATGCTTGAATATGGATCATTTCAAAATGCGATTCCAGACTTCATGTGTAATAAATTGTTTTGTGTATGAGCCCGATTGATTGAAAGTACGGCTAGTACATCTTCACACTTACACAAGTTGAACAAACAAGAATGTTGTTATCGTATACAGAATATCTCATTGTCATCTGGAATTGGTCATGTCACACATGTGGAAACTGTGGTGGTTGAAGGTTGTGTGTTGGCCATTAGGTGCCTGACTCTGGAGTTGGGGTCCAAATCCCGGATGGAACGTAGCCTAAGCCAAAGTACGTGAATCTGTACTTTACTGAGAAAGTGAAATCCCAATTATAACATTATGATATGTTATAGCTATAAAATGTTAAACCAGAACCATTGCCACAATATGAATTAATCATACCTCTACTACTTGGTGCCCGTTGGAACTATAGGTGTAAACATTATTATGCTCAGTTTGTACATATCACCATGTCCCAGTTGTGTATGTACACACTCATGCTGTCATATTCGCAACAAAGTAGGAGTTAGCAGACAAATTGAAACAGTCATCCTGGCAATAGCTATTGGTCAGAGCCTTGTCCTTCAGAGGTAACACTGGTCCAAAGTGTCCCTGATCCTTGCCCCTTCTTTCCGAATAGTAATACGACTTCATCTTTGGGAGATCCGAGTGCCTTCTGTAGGTCACGTATACACCTTTCACGGAAATAATCAGTTTCCTCACAATACGTTTGTGGCAACATACCTGGATATGGGAAAATAAACCAGGGAGTTAGATGTATCAGCGACGATTTAGCGTCCGTCCTCGCCATATAACGAACACTGCTTGGGTCGTCGGGGAAGACGTTGGTGACAGTCAAAACAGTGCAAACTATCCACATCAAAACGGTGCTGAGCAGGATCTGAAACACGTTCCTCAAATGTCGAATTTCAGATTGCGTCTTTCTTCATAATCAGGCACTTTTTGGAATGTTTGATTCACTAAGGTTGTTTGACAATCACGGATATTTTAAACCGTCACTATTAATGTAAAGAATATATCCTTTAAATATAAAAATGTATACAAATACAGCCCAACATCAATGACATCATATTAAATGTGCCACTGGAAATTGATAATAACGATCAACAAAATCGTCAAATAGGGAGACATTATCATCGACACTAGGGACACGTGGACACGTTTTAGACATACCGGAAGTAATCCGAAAAGACGAAAACCGCCCTTCTTCCCTTGCTTCGGTGTTTTCCTTAGACAGGAGGGGAGTGGAATTTCCATCTTGTTAAGGAAGAGGGTAAACACGAGGACCATGATAGCAGCTCTGACATAAAAGATGAATAGCGAATAATATCAAAGCTGGAAAATATTTGTTACTATTTATTACTTTAACTCTTCACAAAACAGTATGACAAAAGGGTAGATTTCAAATGAACCTTCCCTTCATGTAGAGAAATATTCCACACACTCCATCCTTCGAAATCAGCATCATATCATGTGATGACTCTTGCTGAAAACTTCAAAATTGGAGGCATCTGTAACACACCCGATGTCTGAAGCACTTCTCTATTCTGAATCGTACAATAAGTATATTTCCCTTTTGCATGTGAGACGAGTGTTTTAATCATGAATGCTACCAGAGGTGTTCTGTCCTTTAGTATTCCTTTACTTAAGATAGGACATGGACAAAAGCAATTACCAATTACAGAATGGAGTATATAGACAGATATATCAAAGCTTAATGAAGGTATATTTCATACTGGACATATATTAGCTTAAAGGTACTTACGTGATGGCAATTTCCCATGATGGTCTTGAATATATTATTGGGATTTTATACAAGGAAAGTCCTATCAGTGTTATTGTAGGAGCCACGGTCAAAGGTCCAATGTAACGAAGCATAGCACCGACCATTCCTGTTGAACCAACCAGTATCTCAACCAAAGACGCTGCCATTAAACTTCCAGACAACTGCAACAAAGATTAGGCTTTGAGAGAACTACAAACAATAGTTAGCCCGGATATCTAGATGTTCTTTAATTCGCAGAAAATAGGTTCCAAGTATCAGGCCAGATATATTTCAAGTAAACGGTGTTTAACGCTGCCTCGGGAATATTTCAGCCCTGTATGATCCCCATTTTCCAATTTCAGTAGGCTCTTACCACAATCATGAGATATAAGGGACATATTCATATTGTCCATGATGTGCTTGGGATAAGATCAAGGGCATGTTCACATACATGAGTGTTGAGCAGCAATGGTTGATCTGAGTGCCTTGTTTCAATCCCCAAATCTTATTCGATCAGGTCTACTCATAAATGACAAATTACTCATGAATTGTGTGTCTGATTTGGAAGCAAACTTCATAAACTGCATGTAAAAGTATATCATAATCGAATAAAAGCATATCACGTTTCATACGTTAAATATGTTTTATGAAAAGGTAGAATATACAGTGGCCTTAACCCTTTCCTTTGGGTATTAAAATCTATGTGACCTCGTACAATGTTTCAGTTACATATTAACATAGATTATAACGCAAGTTACATTCTTCTACACAATGACAAAACCACATATACTGAGTCAAAAAAGAAACTTCACATTCTTTCTTCAGTGCACTATAAAAGAATTAGAGATGGTAAGATGGTTAACTTGTTATTATTTCATTGCTGAGATCTGTGTGATGTACTCGATACACTGACAGTGCCATAATCAGTTCCATTAGGCTACATCGCCGTTCCAAAACATTGGTATACAGAATGTCAAGTCACAAGAATAAAAATGCGAAATTTCTCAGTTCAATATCGTGTATGGCCGCCCCGCGCATTCGACTCCCTGATGCTTGTGAACACGTGGTTGGGGATTCTGCGCCATTGATCTTGCAAGGCAGCGCCAAGTTCCTGCAAATTCTGAGGTTGGTTCCTAAGACCACGAAGCCTTCTCCCAAGTGCATCCCAAACGTGCTCTATTGGATTAAGGTCAGGGGACCTCGATGGCCAGTCTATGACGTTGATTCCAGCGTTTTGAAGGAAATTTCGTGTCAACATCGCGGTATGCGGCCGAGCATTATCATGCTTGAACTGTAGACCTGGGCCATGAGCCGCCATGAAAGGAACGAGTTCAGGGGTGAGCACCTGGTCGCGGTATGCAGCAGCTGTGAGGTTTCCACGGATGACCAGAAGTCGGGAACGGTTGTTCCAACAGAAAACCCCCCACACCATGCAACTTCCGCCCCCGAATCTGTCGACTTCCTGTACGCAACATTGGGCATACCGTTCACGACGTCGTCTCCAGACTCTATGCCTGCCGTCCGCGAATCTGAGGGTAAACCTGGATTCATCGCTAAAGACGACTCGATTCCAGTCTCTCTGGGTCCATCGGAGGTGACGTTGGGCCCACAGCAGACGTTGACGTTGATGAAACGGCGTCAATATTGGCCCACGATATGGACGTCGAGAATGGAGATTGGCGGCCCGCAACCGATTTCGAATGGTCTGTGAGGACAGTCGACCTCTAAACATCTCAGCCCTGGTTCGTGTAGCCGGCAGAAATCTGTCACGTAGGTGACGTAGGACGAATTGACGGTCTTCTGCTCGAGACGTCACACGTGGACGACCCGACCTTGGGCGATCAGAAGTGGTGCCAGTTTGTTGTAGACGACCTCGCAAGTCATACACAGTACTACGGCTGCATCCCATTGCTCTTGCGACGTCAATAACTGATCTTCCCGCTTGCAACATGCCAACGGCACGTTCACGGTGCACATTTGACAATCGTGGCATTTCAAGTACCGTTAGAACTGTGGTTTAAAAGTGTTTTTACAATTCTTGAGGCCAATGCAAACACGTGCATATGAAGAAAACTTCGATGCGAAGATCACGTGATCGACTGCACGTGCAAAACCTGATTTGGCACTAACGTCATTTGCACGACGAATGGATGGGTTTGAGTGGGTTTTTCTAGAGTCGAAAGATAGGGATCCCATTTCGGATACATAGATGTATCATCAGAGAAATATTATTCATTATTTTTCAAATTACATTTGTGAAGTTTCTTTTTGGACTCAGTATATATAGCATTGTGCCTGAACTGGGATGTCTGCAAATGGAGTAGAACCAATTTCCGTAACGAAAAGAGTATATCAGCTAATGGAATCAATTAAAATGTTCCTACCATTTGTAACCTCTCCGTTTCAGATAACACGTGTGTTGAAGACGCTTCAGTCATGTTAAACTGAGATATTGTCACATTGTTTTCATTGTAGGTATGGGACTCTGTAATGCAACAAAATGTTACAGGCAATGATTTATGTAATATGTTGATACATATATCCCAAACCCTAGACAACAAACAAACGACCAACAATCGCATTTATAATAAATGTGAGTATATATGTCAAGAGGCATGGAAATAGTAGATGAATTTGCAATAAAGATAACTCGTTACATTTAAGTAAAGTTTGAGATATTGTTGCAATAATGTGCAATATTCTTCCAATGATCTTCCTCTGATCAGCGTACATACGAACCTCCATTGGTCACATTGTCACATGACCATGCGACATTGTTCTGTATGGTAAGCAGTGCTGGTATAAATGATGACGAGGGTCCTTGAAAAACTGGAAGTCTGTCCAGAAAAGGTAAAACGAGGTTCTAAAATATTATTGTGGATATTATAAGGAAAGGTGTTGAAATATTATCAGTCAGGATTGCATCACTTGAAAACACTAAATTGGCAGTCATAACAGGGCTACAGTCCGTTTGCTGCAAAATTGTTTGCAAACAAGTGCGATTGTCACGTGCGAATGGTGGGCTGTTCTACATACACTGCAAACCCCTTGTTACAAAATTCATTAAAACACCAACGTGTTTAACAACTTTTCCCCTTCTTCATGCCATTGTCTAAAATTATAGTAACGATTTGGTATGGACAAATTGTCAACTTTCATGCTATGCCATTTAAGACGATTTGTTGCTTTCGAATGTACAATATATTTGCCATTTCATTTGTACGATTTTGCAGCAAACGGAATATAGTTTACTATGAACTGCACAACTCGAGTGACAGCTTAAAGAAGAGTGTCCTCATTTCTTATACTGCCATTGAACAATATATATTCAAAAATATGAATTACGGTTTACAGATATGCGATTTATGTATTGTGTAAATAATCAACAAATCACCCCTGATGCATCCAGACATGATAAATTCATATTTGGTATTAATTGTGTAAGAACATCAGCAAAACTCTGTCAGATATTTCTATTTTCGCCTTTTGTGTTTCCTCTTTTCTGCAGACTGAGTATAGATACTACTTCCCCTGTCAGTCACACAAGGTAAGTTCAAACTTATTTTAAAGTTTTACTTTCAAGTAAAACCTGCAATGACGTTTTTGTTCTTCATGTTAGACCTGAGGTTTTATACTGAATAAGTGAGACCTATTTTGCTTTTGAAATATATCGGTAAATTTACACCTAATGCTCATTTAGACTGATTGAATATCTTACATGAATATTCCGTGACACGCACAATTCCGCTTATGCACGTGATGCCACACTCGCGTCCCAGCAAGACCTCTTTCTCGGTCGTGTCAAAAGGCTAGTCCAAATTAAAAGCCATTTGTATTTCTGAGTTTCGTATACAAAGATCTTACCTTACTCCGAAAAGCGTCTGTAGAATTGTGCAGATTCCACACATGAACAATGTTGAAGAGAACAGCCTCGTTCTTATAGGACTATCAGCAGCTGCACACAACACGTCTGAGACGATGAAGCTTGTGGCCAAACACGATGTCAGGCTCAGCAATACATGCTGAAGAAAATATGTAAACACATCTGTTCTATATTCAGAACGTATCGAACTTGAGAAGAGACAATTTGGAAG